AGTTGAAAAATATTTTGTTGGATATCATTCAGATTCCAACTGTTAACTAAGGAACTCTCAATTTAATATATCTTAATATCTTATCATCAATGGTAGATTTTCAAGTATATTTGATTTGCTTTAATCTAGAATAGCAATAAGCATGACCATCATATGGTTAACATTATAGCAAGAAAGAAGTTATTTGCCTTCTCACTGACTTTTCAAAAAGATACGTTATTTTCCTACACTCTCTATTCAATTCCAATTCTCTTCTCTCTCTCTCTCTCTCTCTCTCTTTACGAAGCACGGATACTTATAAAAGGGAGACGTATCCGTATTGTATTCATATTAGATACCAATACTCCTTGGATACTCCGAGATATGTATCAGATACTTTTCAATGGACACTTCATATATAATTGTATATAACACAATTATTATATGTACATATTATTGTATAATTGCTAGAAAGTATTTTTGACGTTGTAAGTTACATATAACACCATTTTATCTCACATATTTTATTAAAAATATAAAAAAATGACATTTTTTTGCCGAGTCTGCGTACCCTTAAATTTATAGTTTAACAAGTTCGACCTCTAAATACATATCTGCACTCGACACCTATACCCGATTTCATGTAATATAACTAATCAATTATAAAATTCATGAACATCTTCCAAGAAAAAAAAAAGAAATTTCTAGTATGACCACGGATAAAAATACAACAGAAAAAACAATGTAGCCTAATCAATTATTGAGATCAAATCATTTTTAAATTTGCACAAAAAATACAGATTCCATTTATTTTTAACCTCCTTAAGAGTTCTTTCTAGCCAATTAGGGTAGCTCCGTTGGCTTGAAACCCAAAATTTAAACACAACAAAATATGAAAGAGTAATCATGTAATTCTTATAGGTTAGTCTGACCTAAAGGCCACAAACTAACATCAGCTACTGAAAATTACAATCTCTGCATACAAAACTTGATAGAAACAATGTGGCATGTGATTAAATCATGAATATTCTTTACCATTCTTAAAAATAATATTTTCTAATCAGTTATTCCATTTATGAAAGCTCTTTTTCATATCTATAAAGTGTCACGAATAAAAATTAAAGCATAAAATCTAAATAGAATTTTAAAAAAATCATCAAAAAGGTACTCACGTATCATTAACGTTGGATCTTTTTTTGTTTTCTAGAAAGAGAAAATATGAGAATGAGACTGAGGTCTCGTTTGGAAACAATCTATTTTAGTAATTTTTTGGTTTTTTATAAAAAGATGTGAAGAAAAATAGAGAGAGTGAAGTGACAACTTATAATGACTTTTTGACTTCTTAACTAAAATATTTAATCTCCAAACGAGGAGCAAAGCACTCAACGTAGTATATCGATTAAAATAAAATAAAAAACTAAAGTGAAACGCAAGTTGCACTTTGAGTTTTTTAGGAAGACCCATAAAAATGAGGTTAAACACTTAAAGATTCGATATGTTATTTGTTCCAATTATTCTGAGGTGTGAGAAAGTAGTACCAACATAATATACATGAGAAACAAAATCTAGCCAAGATCAAACCTTTCATGGCCATCCCTTTGCTGGAGACTCTTATCGATTTGACAATGTACAAACCCTTTTTAAATGTAAAAAAATAAACATAAGGTTTTCAAGCACAAACACTTATATATGCACAATATCGAGAAAAATACCTAAAGATTCAACAAAATTGATTATATATAATCGGCAAATCAATAATAATAGATTGTCAAATCGATAATGGACAAGACATAAGAGAGTTCCTTATAAAAATCCCAATTAACAAATCGATAATTTTAAGGGTTTAGAAAAAGAAAAATCCCAATCAATAACCAACTTAGGGTTGAAGATTAAAAATAAAAAACAAAACTCGAAATCAAAATGAGTGTTTATGAATAAAACAACCATATCTTTCAATACTTGGCACAGTTTGCACTTTAATTGCAACCGATAAACTACTTTCTCTGCTGGTTGATCTAGATAGGAGATAGGGTGGAGAGGAGTGTCTCAGCCTTCAGATTTTAGAGAGAGAAAAATTATTTTGCTGAACTGTCTTAGCAATCTTGCGTTGGACACACAGTGGTACTCTCTTTTAAAGAAACAAAATGAAGAATGTCTTCGAGAGAAAAGAGGGAGATGTCTAAGAGAGAAAAATGTGTGTTCATCAATACTCTATTTCATGGGCGAGAAAAGAGTAATCCAAGTTAGCCCTAGTTTGTTTGTTTCTTTTATTATTATTTTAGTCTAAATTTTCGTGCACCTATGAAACTTCAGAATAATGGGAAGCCGACGAGTGTTGTGTACGGGCTGAACTCCTCAATAGCTGTATGGGTTCATTTGGCGTCTGTTTGAGCCGTTATTTATACCGTCGGAATCCTCTTGACAAGTAAGGATGTAATAATGGCCCGGCCCAGGCTCAGGTTTCGCAGGCTCTCGTCTTTTTAGCAGCTCGGCCCGGCCCGACCTG